TCTTGCTTAAAAATATTCTTTGAATTTTTTTTATCAGAATTCAGCCTTTTTTTTTTATTTTTTTATTTTTTTTTCAATTTTTTTCCTAAGCAATTAAAGCTGTTAAAAATTAAAAAGCTTTTTTTTTTTTTCTTCTTATCATTATCATGGACTATGACTTACCGAAATATTTTATTGAGATTTTTGTGCTTATGCATTGACATTTATAAATAGAATTTGAAATCTATTTTTTAGTAAAAGTTTTATCATGTGTAATTGCAAAGCAAATTTACTTTGAGGAATAATGACTTGTTTTTATAATTATTGCTAAGTGTTGGACATGGTGGCTAAGTGGTAAATCACTTGGCGTCAGAACTGAGTGTTCTCAAGCTCAAATTCCATCAGAAAACTGGGATTTTCAACCTTCGGATGCCTCTGATTCCATCCTACTCTATTGGGTACCTGACATACTTTAGGGAAGCCAAGGCCGTTGGTCATTGTGCTGACTACCTAACCTCCTCACTAACTGTTAAGTGAGCTATATTCTAATAGATAAGACTTTTAAAGAGTTATAACTAAGTAGAAAAATTTTGATGTCTTAACACAGAGGCTGGTAAAATAGCCCTGAACCAGTTCATTCAGCAGGAGGCTGGGATGCATGGAGTGACAGAAGAGGATGGCGAGGAGCTGGAAGAAGTGAATGAGGGAGGCATGGGAGAAGAGATCACAGAAGAATCCATTGTGGAGCACGGCACAGGACATGAGGAGGGAGATGTGGATGATGAAGATGGAGATGTGAGTAAATTATTTATCTCCATTTTTTTTGTTGTGTTGCATTTAAGAATGATGGAAATACTAACTTCTTTTTTTTTTTTAAATGAAAGTACAAATGTGAAGCTAAATGTTGAAACCATGAATGATGCAGGCATGTTACTTATTTAAACTGCACCAGGAACCAAATTTTAAATGAGAGAAAATTGTGTATTAAATATAACCAAATAATAGGGCACAAACTATCATCAACATCCTAGGATCAGTAAAAACTTCGGGCATTTTTGATGCTGCATCTGGGTTGAGCCGAGATCAATCATTATAGAAAGCCTGGACACTGACCTGCGACCCTGCTACCTGTGGGTATTTTTTACCAATAGCTTGTTGCCAAGACACAGGTCCGACGCCACGGCCTGTAACTTGGCAACAAGTTTTGGTCTAAAATGCAAACAGGTTGCGATGTCTCAGGTCAGTTTCTGTACTATTATTAAATGTTACTAATTTCAAGTTTGGTCTTTGGCCTTTTTATTTCTCTATCAACTGACTCTGAGGAATGTGTACAGTTATTTAAGCTATAGAATGTGGACATTTTCTGATCACATTTTTAGCATTTACCTTTTGTTTATGAGCCTAGGCTACTGTAGTAGTGATTTCAGCTTAGTTCTAATCAATGCATAACATCTTTTAACTTGGACTGAGAAGAGGCCCCCCCTCCCCCCCTTTTGGAACTATACTAGGCAGTTCTTTTTCATCAACACCTGTAATGAAAACTTTAGTAGAACAGGATGCAATTATGAACAAATTAACCTGTGAGTAACTTATGTTTGTTCACTTTTCAGAATGTTATTACCATTGTGACAAGAGCTGAGGATGACTCGGACGAGGATGTGGAGTCGGAGAGCCAGATTATCATGGAAGAGGCCATAATTCAAGAAGGTCATGACGGGGGTGAGAAACAATATAAATCATATTACGTGTCTGAATGATAAGGCTATTGGCTGAACATTGACTACTATAGTTGATAAGGTTTCTCTGTCAATGAGTAGCTGCTCACTTATTCAGGTGGACAAAGAATGTTTGTACTTGCAACTTTTTCGATCTCTCTACTTGATTTAATCAAGGTTGTCCAATAGCACTACAAAACTAGTGAGTTTAAATTAACTATAAATCTTTTAAATTACCAGGCTGTTTTTTTTTTTGTGTTTTTTTTCTTCATTGAGGTCGTCTCATTTATATGTTGTCTAATGAAGACAAGTAAGACCTAAACACTTACTGGGTTTAAGAAATAATTTAAGCGTTTTTTTTTTCCATAAGTAACTTTTAATGTCCTTTCATGTTACTTGTATGTTTTTAGTTCTTTTTAAGATATTTCAACATTATAAGATTCTGTTACTGTTTACCCTCACACTCAGTGTACCAAGTTCTCTTTTTTGGGCCTACATATCTGACTAGATATTCATTTCTGATTTTGTCCAGATATATTTTAAACATTTGTTATGTCTACATCTCTGTACTGTCTTTAGATGTTTTGACCTTCATCTGTGCAGTTCTATCGTCAGTCATCAAACTAATTCCTGCTATGTATCAACACTAAGTCTAAAAAGTAAATTTAGAGAAAAAAAATGTAAGATGTAACATATCAGTGAGTTATGCATTAAACAATCACTTTTTCAGACATCACTCATGTCACAGACGAAGATGGCAATCCTCTGGTCATTGAAGAAGCCAATGGAGGAATGGTTGGATCTGAAGAAATGGGGGAAGAAGAAACATCTAATGAGGTCTAAAATGTACACAAAAACTAATATAAAATGGTAGTCCTTTGTACATTAAATGTGCACAAAACTAGCCACGATTTATATTATCTGTATGAACAAAAACTTTTGTTCTGCTGAAGTTAATAGCCACTTATGTGTTTTGTGCATTATTGCTCTGTAATCAATATGTTTACTGTAGTTTTTAGTAAATAGGGCTTTGTGCATTATGGCTCTCTAGTCAAGATTTTTTGTGGAGGATTTTTTTTTTTTTTTACTTAATTCACCTTAAAAAAAAAATCTACTTTCTATTGAAGAGAAAACTAGTCCTAAGGATTAGCATCATGTTTTCAGTCATTAATAGGTGTAATGAGTTTATAACATTTAAATTGCAAGATTTATTTGCATTCTTCTCTCCAGTTTGACTAAATCTAACATCATAAAAATTACAACTATCATTGATTTCTTCTTCACTAAGTTTCTACTTCAGTATTGGTCTCAAATGGATGTAAATCACATACCCCAATCATTATTTCCCTATCCTACTGTTGAAAAATTAGTATTGCTTTCATAATCAAATTCAGTTTTAATGCAATACTACTTTTTATATTTTAGACATGCTAGTAATTATTTAATTTATAAAGTTCTATCACAAAGAATGCAAATGAAATCTTGTTAAATTAATCTGTTTGATAAGATTGTTAAAGGCTTATAAAACACTAACAATAGCTAATATACTGTTGGCCTCCTTCATTCCAATATAATTGTTTCATTTCATATCAAGCGTAATTTTCCTTTTTCTTAGACCCTGATCCTTTTTTTTATTTATTTTTTGTAATCAATTATTTTTGTGTTAATCAGAATACTGCCCATCAAGAAGAAGGTATCACATTGGAAGAAGAAGATGGACTGCAACTTCAACTAGCAGAAGAAAATCAAGGATCAGAGTAAAAAAAAACACAAAAAAATCCTCAGCTACAGGCAGCTTGCAAAATATTATCAGATGTTCATATGTTTTGCGAGGAAAGTTTTTTAAATCTCTTCTTACGAGATAAATTATTTTCTTGTCATAGTTTAACCTTAAGGCATCCATTGAGTTCCCATCAAATGCTTGGTTCCTCATACTACAGGTTGCTGTAATTTAAACCAAGATCTATAAAGTAGTTTGATGTCTATGCTTTGACTGTTCAGGCCTGAACCGTTTGTTAAAAGGTATTTTTTCATGCTTGGGACAATGATTGATTTGTACTGTGTACAAAATGTAGTTATACTTGTGTGTGCTTGTACAGTTCTTCATATGTCAAGCCCCCCAAACATGTGGCCCAAAGTGTTGCTTACAGCAGTGGGGCTCAGCCTCTTTCAGTATTGGGGGGAGGGGGGTTATGTAATCTACAGCACCTGGATTATGGGCTTTATTGCTAAAAGTTGTTTGTGCCATGGAACCAATTCATTGCGACTTATTCACAGTGGACTGAGGATTTGAGGGGCGGATTGACAATTTAACAATCTTGTTATAGCCCTTGTATGTAGGATGGTGGTTTACAGTAAAGCAATTTTTTGAGTTTTCTGCATTCTGTTTTGTACCACGTGTGTAGTGTGTTATCTCTAGACATTTGAAGTAATCAACTGTGAATGAGCTTGAGATGGCTTGACTAATGGAGACTGTAAAGCTTTAATGAATCTTGAATTACATCACTATGGTTCACCTTTATATTGGGGGGGGGGGGAGGCTTGGATGAAGAATACATTACATTTGGTGGGGTTATAAGGTACTATTCATTATTGTTGCATAACTTGAAGCAAATAGGTGGTAAAATTTAAGATTTGGATGTTCTCTGTGCCCCTTTTACTACATATGTGCGCTATGTAATGATTGTTTTAACTTTTTTTTTTTTTTTTTTTAGTGAATTTGTGGTGCATTAATAATTAAATGAAATATTTAAATACTTTTTGTTACTTGGTTTAAAAAAAGACTTAGATACAAGTCATTGAAATTATCAGTTCAGAAAAAAAAAGTCCTAGATTTATTTATTTTAACGTTTATCTTATGGTTTTGTATTTATGTCATTATTTTATCATTCAACTTTGTACATTTTAAAATGGTTCTGTTGAATAATAATAATTGACAAATTTTTATGATAAATTCATTTTGTAGTTTTCTTTTTTAATTTATGTAAGTAATTAGATTCCTTGAACGCTTAATAATAGACATACACAAGCAATACATATAACCATGTTCTGCTCAGATGTCCCCTAAAAAGGAGGCAATTGAAGAGCTCTCATAAGAAAAGCTCTTTTCAAAGACTTACACTGTAGAATAAAATAAATTTAAATAGACCCGTGGCACACAATGGATGTGGAAAGAAAATATATAGGTTGCTACTGGGTTTGTGTAGTCATGTCACGAACTGCACTCATCCTTAATCTTTAGAATTGAAGACATTGGCTTATAATCTAAATGAATAGTTTACAAAGACAAAATAAAAATGAAGCAGATTGTTTAGACCAAATTGTATTTATTGGGGAAAAGAGAAACATTACCTACAATCAAATAAAATCAATATTGAATTATTAATTGAAAAATTAAAACAACACAAATTACACATAAATATTTTAAAAAATGCAAAAAATGATACTTATATAAGATTACAGTTTCATAGCAAAGAAAAAATGTATTCAAATTCTGAAATGACTTATTTACCTTCTCATGTAAGACCAAAAAAAAAATGTGTTTGCTCTTTATTCTAAAAAAAACATTGCTAGGTTATATCTGATTCATTTTTGCTTTAGCGTTTTACCATGGCATGTCATAGAACATCCAAATTTTCAGAAAAATCATCACTTTTTTTTTTTTTTTTTGAAACCTGAACTTTTTTTTTTTCTTGTTTTGATTAAATAATTGAAAACAAATTTCTTCTACATAAGTAAAGGGAGATAAATCTACAAATGTTATATAACAAGAAAGTAATGGCATTAGCATCAAAGGATGAATGAAATAGATTGCAACTACATACATTGACCTATTAGACTTGCTATTTAGCTTCAGACAGCTATGAAAATGAGAAACCACAAAGCTGAAAGGGAAAAGGGGGAGAATTTGTATTTTTAATTTAAAAGTCATGTTAAGAAAGCACTTAGTGATTAGAATACATTCTATCGAGCTGTACCTAAGTGTTACCCTCAATTCTTCATGTGTGCTGTTTATTTCATTGGCAATATGTTTGGATCACTTTTCACTCCAACTTTTATTTGCTAGGCTGTCTCCCATTTATAAATGATATTTATATGTTTTTTTACCATTTAGTTGAGTGGCAATATTTTTGGTAGGTTGTCGCCCATTTATAAACAGAACTCGTATGGCTGTCTCCCATTTATATTACAGAAAAAATAAACTGGAATTTCATCATTAAATTAGAAAAAAAATCATTTTGATGATTGGATTGTTAGAAACAAAAATAAATTCTTAAACATTCAGTTCTAATTGCTAGATATAAACGTTTGATGGATTCACTGAGAGTCATTCTAAAAGAGTGCTTCACATCAAATTATTGGCCAGATAACCTGAAGGGTTGTAACTTCAGCCAATGATTAATTCAATCTATACCTAATCCAGTTTGGAGATTCTAGACTTTTTCCTTTCTATAAGCTTTAGAAGTGACATTGTTAAGGCAAGAAAGATAGCCCTGGCTTGTCAGCTACCAAAAGAAAAAAACATTTCTGGCATAAGAAAATCCCCTCAGGGGCAATCGATGTTTGTGTCTTCTCATCATTCCTGAATAATGAATATTTTACAAAGAGGAAATAAAACAACACAAGCATCAACTTGTTGAAAACCACAGTACAATGCAAGCATCAACATGTTGAAAATTGGAATGTTGAAATCACAATAGTTCCAAGAAAGGAGAGAGACAGAGAGAGAACACACATACAAAAACGCTATACATCTTAATATGCTATAGAAAAAGGGAATAGAAACATACAAAGATAATATGCTTAAAAACTTATGTATAGGTATAGATATATATATGTATATATTTATTATTTGTCTAATATTAGACAATTATTCATTAATATGTATTTTTTACAGATTGAAAAGCAAGATTTAAAAAAATGATCAATAAATAAAAGAAAATAAAAACGTTTCCCCATAAATAAAATTTCCCTCTACAAAAAAAATAAAACAGAGTTAAAAAAACAACAAAGAGATTAACACTTCCATAGCGTATTTATAGATATATATGTACATACACATACTGTACACAGTATTAAAAAAATGGATTTATTTTTATGCTGTATCGCATTTCAACACATAAATAATTATGCATAAAAGAATTTCTTTTTAACACAAGACTATGAAAACTTTCAAGTGACAAAAAACAAAATGCATAAACATACACAGATTATTTCCTTTTTATAAAAAAAAAAAAATGGCTGGTTACTAGATAATACACAAAATAGGAAAGTAAAAAAAACACTTTTTTTTTTATCCAATATATCTTCACATCTAGAAGAGACTAAGCAGAGAATATATCAAAAGACAGTTTTATCAATAAGGTATCATATATTATATAAATCACAATAAAATGCACTTGTCAGTACAAACACACATATGCAATCAAAGACTTTTCATTTGCAACGAATTGTAAAAAATAATTAAATTATTAACAAATAAGGAACAAGCGATCAATGTTGATAAAGGGTACAAGAAAACTATGCAGATTCGATGATAAAGGTGTGTGTGTATGAGGGGGGGGGGAAATGAACAAAGGACTTTAAAAAGTTATAAAGATATGGATTTGAAAAAAAAAAAATGATTTAAAAAAAATGAGAGTTAATTTTCATTGGTTAAAGTAACAATATCTACTGTATAGAGTAATAGTAGTCGTTGCTCAGAGAAACCATTTTGTTGACACTTAGACAACACGTGACAACAGACAAAATGAAACCGTAGAGAAAAAAGACTTAAGTTTAAACAAATTATAACTCTGACTATGGTAGGTCAATGTAAAAACATGGTCTACAGTGTGTGTGTGGGGGGGGGGGGGGGGGATAATGTTTTATCAATGCTTGTTTATCGATATTTGTTTTTTACCCAGAAAGAAAATGTTTTGTGATGCCACTTCCTCACTATTTGGAATTTAAAAAAGACTTCAGCCACAGCTAACTTTTTTTCTCATGATTCAAGCAAACAACTGCCCCTATAGATTTTGTCCACCTCAGACCCTATTCAAATACAAAGCACAATCAATTTTGTGGTAGGGCAGAGAACTTAAAGGGAGAACATTCATGTTTTTTTTTGTTTTGACAAAGTCTGAAAGGAGCCAAAAGAAAAGAACAAAAAAAATCTTTGCTAGATGAAGGGAACAGGAGACAAAAAAATATGATACAAGTATCCACAATGATAGTTTTGCTATCGGGGCGGCCGGGGGGGGGGGGGGGGGATCAACAGTACAAGGAAAAAACAAGCACTTCTGATTTCTACCATTACAGAGACATGCTTAAACAAAAGAACAAATAAATACTTATAAGAATTATTGTATAATGTTCCGAATTAAAATTGCACACGATTCGAAGTGGGCTTCCAAGGGAACTGAAACGTCTCTGTTGAAATGTGACAATGAAAATGGATTTGATCATACCTAGAACAGTCAGGGGCAATAACCAGTAAAATTCATGGTAGTATAATATTTAAATAGTGATGATATTTATACAAGCACAATGAACAAGCCATTAAAGTTGTAGAGATAGACTGAAACAAAATACGGTATAGAATTAAAAACTGACTGATCAAATGATAGAAATCATTGTTATAAAGATTTACTACTAAGGAAATGAAAATTAATCTTGACCCAATCAAAGTCACAGATACATCCCCCATTGGCAATGCAATAAGAAGAAAAGGAAAAATGGATGCGTCTACACTCTATCCATCCCATATCTGATAGGGCAGTGTTTCCCAAATGCAATAAGAAGAAAAGGAAAAATTGATACTTCTACATTCTATCCATCCCATATCTGATAGGGCAGTGTTTCCCAAACTGAATTCCACGAAACCTTTTTTTTCTGTTAGGCCTTATTAGGTGTAACACCAACTACTGGAATAAATAGCTAGTATGCCTCCTTGTGAATTAGTCTCTGTATGAAAAATAAGGGAAATGGTTCAGTTAAATACTCAGAATGTGCGAAGTGTTCTGTCAAGGAAAAAGATTGGGGAAAACTGAGATTGTGTAAGTATGCCATAAAAACAGTACTATTGACGTACATGAAAATAACTCAATATATAGATCTATAAGCCTATAGCGTTTCAGTTGCTTACATTACATTTTGAACATTTTTATTCCAATTTCTTTCCTCTTGAAATTAAAATATTTAGAAAAAATGTGCATAATGGCTTCACATCCGTAAAGGTTAGGTCCATCTTATTGACTAGCATTGTTAGATTAGCTGCTAATTGAGTTAGGACTTTCATTTTATTTGTTTATATGTTTTGGACATTCTAAACCTACTGCTGGACACCAGGAGATGGACATTGAGCTCTGGACCATCATGATGGCAGTTAAAAGTGCATATAGGCTACCACATGTCCAGATGGACATTGGATAGGAAATTTGACCTAACATCCTAACATAAGAACCATCTTAATAAAGTAGTAAAGTTCCTCTTTCAGACTTTGCAATCTATCGGGCAGATGATATTTAAGTAATCTTTTCTTTGGCTAATGAGCAGGAGGGCATTGCGGCACAGCAAAATGACCAACCGCCTTTACTTTCTCCAACTAGAGACAGGTACCCTTAGAGATGGGTGGACTCAAAGACCATTCAAATCTCAGTCTTCTCTGAGTTTTGAACCCAGGATCCAAGGTTTGAAAGCCAAACGCTTAACTGCTCAGCCACTGCCCCCCCCCCCCCCCCCCCCCCCATCCCAAGAACCATCTTTCCTAGGCAGTAAATTATGTTTAAGCATGACGTGAAAATCATTAGGACTAGATTTCTTATAAGTTCAAATAGCTTTTACTGGATTTAAAGTTACACTTGAATCATTTAGCAACCATAACCTGCACTGAATACATTTTCAAAAAAAAAAAAATATTTTGATAGTTAATTGGTTCCTTCTGTAACACCAGAAACCATTTTAACACTTTGAGCCTGTTTGCCAGATATATCAGTCAGTATGTAAAAAAAAGCCATGCCATTTCATCCCGGGTCGACACACCTTACCTTAGACTGACAGTTCAGTGGAGCTCATGGGAATAGGGAATTAAAGGCAGGGAACTGAGGGTCCAAAGGGTTAATAATTTTAATAATTTTCTTGTATTGTTACACGACAAAAAGAGTATGAAGTGAAAAAAACAAAAACAATGCAGTCAATCTCAGTTCTGTTAGTATTTTGGTTCTCAAGCAAATATTTATTTAGAATTAAACCTAACTTGATAAAGAAAACTGCAAAAAGTAGTTATCACCAAAGTCAAAACTGAGATGAAAATTGTAGAGAATTCAAAGAAGAATCTTCGCAAATTTGAGGCACACTTTGAAAAAAATTAAAATACATTAACAGCACTTAATGATAATCTGAAAAAAAATTACAAAAAGTGTATTTGAATAAGATTTTCTAGATTGTAAAGTATGATAAGGTATGAAGTATGAAAGCATATGTGCTGGAAAATATAAGCAGATATCATCTTAAATGTTCTGAGATTTCACTGTATGTAGGCCTACTTTTATTTTTCTTTGGCAGTCTGCAAAAGAGCTTACAGCTCAGCAGCAAAAATCTGGCTAGAAGAAGAAGAATATTTTCTGAGATTTCATTGTATGTACTTGAAAAGTTTCGTGTTGGGTAAATAAAAATTTGTTTAGAAAAGCTAAAAAATTCTGGATTTCTGTTTACACAAACAAAACCAAAATTGGATTTCCATTCTTAATTTAAGCCATGAGCAAATACTATAAACAACTTCAAAAATATTTTCTTTCAATCTAAATAAGTAAAAATGCTTCTCTGTGGAAATAGCATTTTTAGCTACCCCCCACTTTTTCAAGTTAAATTTTTCGTAGCCTAGCCTTAGTGATAAACTGACTTAATTTATACGATTCGGATGTTCCTTCAGAAGTCAATGAAGGTTATTACATCCTAACCCAAACCTCCTGCAAGGTGGCTGGGGATGGTGGTAGGAAGAATTTGAACTCGGGACAATTAAAAAGACAGTCCAGAAAGCATACCAAATTTGTAACTGAGCTGAAAACATGTGATTTCTTAATGTTTGTCAGGTAAATTATTTAAAAAAATCAACAGAGAAGAAAAATACAAATGCATTATGGGAGAAAGAGTTACGAAAGAAAAACAGGTAGAGAAAGAGCAATTTTAAAAACGATAGTGTCTTCATACACTAACAATGCTCAATAATGCTTGAAACTGAAATATCAATGAGTGTTTCTTCCAGAAACACTTTAATATTGCTCTTACTCATTGTGTTCTCAGCTACATCTTATTGCACACATTGCCATGACATTGATCTTAACAAAAAAAATAATTAAAAAATTGCAAATGAAATATTGAAAATACAAGAGAGCCTTTTACAAAGTAAATTAAATATTATGGATTTGTATTGAAGTTGAAAATAAAAGTTAAACGATTGCTTTGAATTCAAATATAAAACTGGAGTACAAATCTAACAAATGTTATAAAGTAATGTAGTTATTATCAGCTAAAACATAAATCAAACTCGTATTTACATGTGATCATGGAGCTTAAAAAGTATTTGTATACATTTTGATAAAGAGTTTTTATCTTGATATAAGCCTCAATAAGTGGAGTTAACTTTCATTCTCTACGGAAAAATGCTGAAACAAGAAAAACAAGAGTAAAGGTTAACAAATACAATCTCCAGAACTTTATTATATTTTATGATTATCACATTTTGTCTTTCACTGCCATGTTCAACTGAAGTGTGTATTAATTTACATGTTTAGGACCTTCCATCGGAGTTGAAGATTATCAACCACCTGCGGGATGGTGCAAGATGGCAGGAATCAGGGTTTGAGCCTGGGACCATTGTGACAACAATCCAGAGCGCATGCTAAATGACCAGGCAGCCATCCTGTGTGGTGTTATATGCACTCTTGACTGCCTTAGTGCCTGTTAGAATATAAAAAACCTTAAGGTTGACTAAGCAAGTTGTGTTAAAATCCTAACCCCTTCCTAACTCATTGAATTCATGTCACAGGTAGAAGGGAAAGAAGAATCTTTGTGTTTCATTTATAAAGTCAATTAAATGAAGTGATGATGGACAAAGTTCAACATCATGTGGTGAGTTGCTAATTAAAAGCACTGGGCTACCCAAACATTTGTCTCAAGTTTGAGAGGCTGGTAACTTTAGGTGGCCATTCAGACTTTGAAAACAAAAAGGAAAAAAAAACTCATTCTAAATATATCAAAACAGTTTGTAGTTTAAAATTATGTTCAAAATACAAAATTTTTTAGTTTAACAGTGTAATTCATATTCTCATGTAACAAATATATAAATATAAGCTTACACCAAATAAAAAAACAACAAGGCAATATCACATACAAGAGATAAATACAATCATTTTTTTTTATCTTTCAGTATACAAAAACAATAATTAAAGAGAATAAGTTTATAAACTTAGGCTAGTTTAAAATTATCCATTGAGTTTTTTAATATATTTCTGTAAAATGCATTTCTCTCACAAATAAGATTAAAACTTTGGCTTATTTAAAATTATCAATTGAGTTTTTAAAAATACATTTCTTTCATAGAATAAGATTTTAATCTTTGGCTAGATTAAAATTATCAGTAGAATTGTTGTTGTTTTTTTTTACTATTTCTTACAGAAAAATAAAAAAATAAAATTGATGAAACTTATGATCTTAGAATACAAAGTCTTGAGTCAGAGTCTATAGCCTGAGGTATTCAGATTTACAGCTCATAGAGTAAAATACTTATTTTTAGATTTTCAGTTCTTAAATAAACACATGGTCACATCCCTTCCATATTAATCTTCCCCTCACAAACAATTCAATGTATTATTTGTTAAATAATTGAATGTAAAATATATGCAAGTTTACACTGAGCAAGTATCTAAAAATGTTACGTATATAAACTTAAATATTTGAATTTCTGACAAAATAGAAGTAAAATAATCTCCCAAGTTGTTTTTGTTTTCCCTAGTGAGTTACAATTTAAAATAAAAAATAAAAAAAACAAAAGAAAACCCCAGATATTTTGATTTCTAATAACTACACATTAAAATAACCTTTTTTTATTATTAATATTGGTTTTGTTGAAATATCTTTACACCATTAAACTTTATTTTTTTTGTCAATAGCTGCTTGATTTGTTTAACACTAAGCCTAAACAACGGGGAGCATTTGTTTGTAATTATTGCCATTATTTGCAACAAGGAGGCTACATATACTC